AATGGGGTGTAGGCCAGAACTGGGGGAATGAGAGGATTCACCAGAGACAGAGTGGGGAGCTGAACAGGTGGATTGACTGAAATGCATTGCTGAGGGGAGCAGCAGGCGAGACAGGAGAGGTCTGCCGCGCCATGTGGGTAGGTCCCTGGCCAGGGAACAAATTCATGCTGGCTGCTGATAGCTTCATAATGCTATGTCTTAACTTCTTGCACCACCAGGGAGGCCCGTGATTGCTTCTTCAACTAGGAAATAGGTAGAAGCTTAGGACATATTGATCTCTTCTTCTATTACAGAGAGGGGAAGGACTTGGGCAAGAACTGAAGCTTCTCCTAACCTTCAGGAGGTTAGGAGACAATCTGTATTCTCTAAGTAATGGTAATAGGCTGCATACGACCTTAAATAGGCTGTTCACAGGACCTTAAATGACTTCTAGTTCCCATACCAAGGTGACTATGATGCTGACTTGGGAACTTGGTGGAGGTTCTAACATCTTATAAAAGAATTAGCGAGGAGGGGGGCCTCCCTTGTGGCACAAGGGGTTGGGACACAACCTATGAAGCTACCCACAGCCACCGCGGCACAAGTTTGATCCCCGGCCAGGGAGCCACCCACATGGCATAGAAGACCTCTCTTGTCGCGCCTGCTGCTCCCCTCAGCAGTGTTTTTCAGTAGATCTGCCTGTTCTGCTCCCCACTCTGTCTCTGGTGAATCCTCTCACCCCACACACCTCTGGCCTGTACCCCAGTTCTTGTATGCATAGAATGAATGAGTCTTTAAAAAAAAAAAAAAAGAATTAGGGAAGAGGCAAGACAAAATACATCCAGACAACATTTTATTAGACTTGTACTCAAGCACAAGGGAGGCAGTGCTGAAAGAGAGTGTTTCCATCCTGGCTCCCTGAAGGGAGCTTGGAGAGGGGTTTTAAGGGGCTTGTCTACTAGTGTGTGAAGCAGCATCATAGCTTGTTTGGGGCTGCATTGTACTGGGGTGTGCATAGATAGGTTATTTGATTTTTTCATACATCACACATCTAATTAGCATCTTAAATCTCCACCCATGGGTGTCCATGTTAGCATGCTACTGTGACCTTGGATTTTTACGACCTGTGCCTGCGAGACCCTCAGTTATCCTCCCTTCTAGGAAATGGTGCAGTTTGTTTGTTTTTTTTAAGATTTATTTATTTATACAAGAGGTGGGGTACAGGCCAGAGGCGCTGGAGGGTGAGAGGATTCACCAGAGACAGAGCGGAGAGCAGAACAGGCAGATGGACTGAAATACACTACTGAGGTGGGCAGCATGCGAGACAGGAGAGGTCTGCCCCGCCATGTGGGTATCTCCCTGGCCGGCCAGGAATCGAACCCGCACTGTAGAGGCTGTGGACAGCTTCACAGCGCTGCGCTCAGCCCACTGCATCACTGGGGAGGCCAAAATGGTGCAGTTGTTATTAAAACAACAGCCATGTATCAGGACACATGGTACCTCCTGTATATAGCACGAGAAGGTCAGGATAGGTCACTGTCTGTCAAGATGTGGCCGCTTGTTAGTCTGCTGGGATATAGCAAACAAGTTGTTAAAACAAGATGTTAAGCAGCTCCCGCCAGCTGTGCTTTAGTCCATCTGTTCAGGGAGGATGTTGGGCAACTTCTCCTGCCAGCTCACTTTCAATTCACCTATGCCGTCTCAACCAGAGGCCTACTCTGGACCTGTTAAGAAAAGTTTATCTGACCCTTTTGGGGGGACTAACTGACCCCACATCCCCAAACTACATTCTTCTAGGTCATAAAAGTGTGGGTAGTGACTGCTTTTTCAATTAGGAAAAAGAGCAGAAGCTTAGGACTTTTTGATCTCTTCTTTCACTAAGGTAGGGAAAGGACTTGGGGAAGAACAGAAGCTTCTCCTAATCTTCAGGGCCCTCTGCCCTCACCCCAAAATAATCTCCATTCTTTAAGCAATGGTGATAGACCTCCTGAGGCTCACTGGGCTTTGACTGACTTGAGTTTCCACAGCAAGGACAAGAGACCTATTCTGAGCATATTGAGAAAAGCCTGTCTAAGCCTTTTAGGGAGATTGACCCACATAAACATTTACTAAGTTATAAAGAAAAAGCAATGCCATGCTGTATACTTACAAATTTTCCTAGAAAGACACCCAATGATTGTTTAATAATAGTAAAAAAATGAATGCAATCTGCACGTCCAAAGGACGTGCCTTTCAGTGGGTTGAGTGCAGCGCTATGAAGCTGTCTGCAGCCTCTGCAGCGCTGGTTCGATTCCCGGCCGGCCAGGGAGATTCCCACATGGTGAGGCAGACTTCTCCTGTCTTGCCCGCTGCTCCCTTCAGCAGTGTACTTCGGTCCTTCTGCCTGTTCTGCTCCCTGCTCTGTCTCTGGCGAATTCTCTCACCCTCCCACGCCTCTGGCCTGTACCCCAGTGCTTGTATAAATAAATAATAAAAATCTTTAAAAAAAAAACAACAAAAACTGGGCCTCCCCTGGTGGCGCAGGTGGTTGAATGCCAACTGTGAAGCTGTCCGCAGCCTCTGCAGCGCCTGTTCCATCCCGGCTGGCGGGCGAGGGTCCCACATGGTGCGGCAGACCTCTCCTGTGTCGCCCGCTGCTCCCCTCAGCAGTGTATTTCGTCATTCTGCCTGTTCTGTTCCCATTCCGTCTCTGGTGAATCCTCTCACCCTCCCGTGAATCTGGCCTGTACCCTGGTTCTTATATAAATAAATAAATAAATAAATATATAAATAAATAAATAAATAAATCTTAAAACAAACAAACTTATTTGCCTTTTTCTCTCCTGATTAATATATTGCTTGTAGTCTCATAACAAAATACCCTCTATCCTTCAGATTTTTTTTGTTTTCCTTTTTAAAACCTTATTTAAGTCTTTTTATTTTCTTTTTGTTTTTAATCAAGGCTGGTAGTCTCATTAATTTTATTGAAGAAGAGAAAAATTTCATTGAAGAAAGTAATGATAACTTTAATAATAATAATGATTTAAGAACCCCAGAAAAGATAATCAAGTCAGTGAGCTTGAAAATTTGGGGTAGATGTGTCTATAACCCTTAATTGATTAAAATATTAATATTATGTGCTTTTATTCAGGCCTTATTAGATAATCAGCCATAAAGAGCTATTTATTCTATTTCACACAGGTTTGAATAGCTTTCTCTTTCTCTTTGAATTTTTAATTCCAAATTATTTTTTTATTGGAACACTTGCAGTTTCTTGAGTCCTTGGGATAGTTTTGGCATGTAAGACATCATAATTGTATTTACATATGATATATAATTTGTATCATAACGTGCTCTTACTTTGTAGAGTATTAGTCCTTCTGCAGTTCTCTGGAGTGGTGATTTTCAAGTAAAACAGATTTGCTAATCTGTGGCAAAATTTTTACCTTTCCAGGGCATAATAATAATAATGTAATTTTTTTTAAGTTTTTGTGTTTAATTTAAAGAATTCATCCTAATTCAAGTTGTTAAGAGGAATGTCAAGATCATCCTTTATGAAATGGTAGATGATCATTATTTTTAATTTCATTGTATTGGTTTATAAAATTCATTCCTCTAGTAGATAAGGTAAGATAAGCCCTGTGGCTAGTCATGTAAGATTTGAAATTATTCAAGACTGAAATCTTTGTGTTGAATCACATTTGAGCCTATGTTCATCAGTTTTAAATATTGTGTCTTAGCTCACCATAGCCCAACGCCCCACATTGGGTGGAATAAACGACAGAAATTTATTTTCTCTTAGGTTGGAAGTCTGTGATCAGGGTGACAGTGTGGCCAGGTTATGTCTAGTGCTCTCTTTCCAGTGTGAGGACAACTGCTTTACATTGGAGGTGGGGAGGGAGACAGAGAGAAGGAAGTTTCTCATGACCTCATCTAACTCTAATTACTTCCCAAAGAGCAAGCACCATCTCATTGCGCTTAGGGTTTTAACAAAGTCCATAACAAGCATTGTTATGTTAGGATATTAGCCTAGGGATCTGGGAAGATACAAATCCTTCCTTGGTAAACTACCACTAAATTTGGGGGACAATGGGAAAACAAGGCAAAATAACACCATTGCTAAACAAGACTTTGAAGTTTCAAGCCTCAAGGCAAAATACCACTAAGTTAAGCAATTAGCACAGGGGAACCCATTTACTTAAGGTCACTGGCTTGACTGATCTATTAATATTATAAAAGAAGTTGGCTAGTCATTGTCTGTCAGCCAAGAATGGCCTTTACATTTCATATGGTGGGGAAAAAATCAAAAGATTTTGTGAAATCTGAAAATTATATGAAGTTACATTTTAGTGTCCCTAAAATAAAGTTTTGTGGAACATAGCCACACTCATTCATTTATGTATTGCCAGTGTTGCTTTCATGAAATAACTACAAAGTTGGGTAATTAATTGCAATAGAGCCTAAAATTTTCACTATCTGACTCTTTAGAGGAAAAGTTTGCCTGAGTTGGCCAATGACTTGCTTTGCCTATTCCCAGATCCAAATCTCATTTGAAAATATTTCCAAAAGCTGCACGGCCATATCCATCAACACTAAAGGAAATGAAGCCAGATGTGGAGTATCTACCCCAAAGCCTGACACAAGCGGGTCCAGGATTGTTCACTTCAAGTTGTCCAAACCCGTTGGACCTGGCGCTTCCAAGAATAAACTCAAAGGACTGATGGCCTCATTGGATGCTAGAAGAGAGAGCCATGTAATTTGCTGATGTTTTTCAGTCCTTTAAGAAATTAACTGTTTCCAAACATATCCCAGGGGCCTGGAACTGGACCAGTCTAGATGAAGATTTATCTCCTTTTGAGTTTCTACTCCTTGATTGATACTTTTTCCTTTAAGGAGGGGAAAATGGGATCTAAGAGTGATAATCTTTCTGTGATTCAGCATTAATCAGTGAAACTGGTAGCACCTTGACATGTCAGCCACTTCCTTGTTTTCTGACTTGCTTTTGTTTTGTTTTCTCCCTCTTCCTGCCAATATGCACAAAGGTGATTTTAAAGGATGTGGACTCACTTCTCTATGTAGACACTGATGTTCTCTTTCTAAGACCTGTTGATGACATCTGGAAGTTTCTGAGGCAGTTTAATTCTACCCAACTTGCGGCCATGGCACCCGAGCATGAGATCCCCAAGATTGGCTGGTACAGTCGCTTTGCTCGGCACCCATTCTATGGCTCTGCAGGAGTTAATTCAGGAGTCATGCTAATGAATTTAACTCGCATAAGAAGTGCCCAGTTCAAGGTAAGGATGTATCTTATATTTACCTGTTTAAAAAATTAGGATTTTGCTTTTTTAATAGTGACACTCCTAGAGTGTCAGTGTGTTGACTTTGGAAATAGATGACTTATAAGGTGAGGATGGAAGGAGCCAGGGAGGAGATATGTATTTGGAAATACATTTATGAAATAGTTGTTTATTCAGGGAAAGTGCAGATGACTGTAGAATTTAAACCTTTGATGGAGTTACTATTCAGAAAAATTATGTTGCATTTCTGAATTCCATGTTTGCGCTCTATGTCCAAGGCTTTGAAAGCCATGGAAAATTTCTTGCAATAAGCAAGGTAGATACATATATAAGTACACAGGTATATTGTACAAGATGGTTCATGGCTTTATCTTTTAGTCTAGCAAATTACTAGGAAGAACCTCAATGAACATAGCAGAGAACTAGTAAAAAGAAAATTATCCTCATATTAAAAAGAACTAGGTCAGGGCCTCCCCGGTGGCGCAGCGGTAGAGCGCTGGGTTGCGAAGCTGCCTGTGGCCTCTGCGGTGCCGGTTCAATCCCCGGCTGCTCCCCGGCCACCAGAGGAGGGTCCCACATGGCGCGCAGACCTCTCCTGCAGCCCGCTGCTCCCCTCAGCAGTGTACTTCGGTCCTTCTGCCTGCTCTTCCCCTCGCTCTGGCTCTGGTGAATTCTCTCACCCTCCCGCACTTCTGACTATACCCAGTGCATGTATAAACAAAACAAACAAGCAAACAAATAAATAAAGAAAAACATGCCTCTATTAAAAAAAAAAAAAAAGAACTAGGTCAGTCTTTAAGTAAGATAAAATAAGATCTTTAAAAGCATAGAAAGTGAAAAAATTCCAGTGCAGCAAAGCATGATATTATATAGAACATGATCCCTTTTATGCTTTAGAAATTTCCGGCATTCCTAAGAGACCAGTAATTGTTCATTGCTCATACTCCTGGGAAAGTGGGAATAGGAATTGTAGGATAGAGGAAGAATGGTTTTACTTTTTAAGTTTTGTGTCTCTGTGTGTCTTCGAATATTTAGTCTGTGAATGTGCTGCTTTTATTTTTTTAATGTAATTTATTTATTTATATATATTTTACATCATGGTTCATTTTTGTACAACGTTTGCTTTCTCTTCTCAGGTGTAGTCCCCATAGAATTCCCACCGCCGATTCACCCATGCACCATCGCCATAGTCCCTTGTGTGGACCATTATATACTTTAGAACAGAGTCAATGTGTACCATTTAAAGGCTTTTGTTGTTGTTGTTGTTAATTTTTGAAGCATCCTTCTTTATTTTTTCACAGTATACTATTTTGCCCCTCAGGAATGGTCACCATAGTTTTCCCACCACCAAAGCAGTCATAGTCTTGGATGCTTCCATTTGCTCTTAGGTGAAGATGTGAGCACAATTATGTTAAAAGTGCTCCTCTGTGACTAGTTGTCTCTACTTGCTTTTATTTTAAATATAAATACTATTTTAAGCAAGGAAAAAATATTTTTCTTTAAGCCTCAGTTCTTCTCACTGTATTTTGTTCCTTCACTTCAGAGATAAGAATTAAGCATAAGAGAGGTTCAACTTCAGGCGTGGTTTTCAGAGTGCAAACCAGAGGCTCAGCTCTCACTTCCAGGTCCATCCAGTATCCCTGTGTATTTCTGAAAATTCTATAGTGTACAGCCCTGGTTTAATTTCGTTCTGTGCCTTGAGACCAGCTAGAATCCCCTCTTTTGCTTAATTCTTGGCAGGGGAGTGAAGGAAGAGAGAAAAAAGAGGGGTGGAGATCAATTGCTCTAATTGTTTCTCGGTAGACAAGATGTTTTTGCTTTGCTGCAGCCATTATCACAGTTTTCTCTTTTCCAGAACAGCATGATTTCAACAGGCTTGGCTTGGAAGGACATGTTGTACCCTCTGTACCAGAAGTACAAGAATGCCATCACATGGGGAGACCAGGATTTATTAAATATCATTTTTTATTTCAATCCAGGTAGGTTTTCTTTCAAGAATGCTGTTTGTGTAGGAGTACGCCCACCTCCTCCCAGAGCACATTCCAGCCCAGTCTGCTATTGCGTGAGCTTGAATTGGGCCTGTGTTTCCCTGTGAAGTATTCCTTTCTTCCACCCTCTAGAGTCCTATGGTGGGGGGTCCTCACGACTGCTGACACAAAAGGCCAAATGTTGAACCTCCAACACTGGACTCCATTTTTCCACTGTATCTTTTAGATTTTGACATACCATTTTTCTAAGAAGCCCAGTCAAAATTAATAGGAGGCACACAACTGAATGAAAACATTGTAATCTAGGCATGGAGACCCTCAAGAGCCGGAACTAATGCTAGCTTAAAGGGAATTGATTTTTGGGATCCTTTACTGTTAAGTGACTTGCTCAAGGTTAAAAGAGCCTAGGATATGGACTAAGATTCCCAACTCCCTTTTTCTTTTCATCTGGGGCAAAAGAAATTCTACTTACATTGTTAATTCAATGATGTGGTGGAGCTAGAGGAGGGAAGAAGATAAAAATTTCTGGTCTGTGTTTTAGTATTGACAACCTAAAGCAAATAAAGTTTTCTTTTTTATCTTCTTTGCTAAAACTTTAGAATGTTGTTAAAATCAAAACCATGTTTTTTCCTTGACAAAGATCTTGGTGGAGGGGGGTGAGGGGGATGCAGTTCTCACCCCAGCCTACTCAGGCCTTTCCTTTGTCTTTAAAAATCCACAACTAGAGACTCCTATTTATAGACTTCTGCCTGTAATTGCACCAGGAAGCTCCCTCTATATATTTTTTGAACAAAATTCTAAAGTGAAAACTAACCTGAATCAAAGGATAACATCCTGGAAAAGCAAGAGACCGATAGAGTTTCTCTGTTAGAGTCCCAGTAACTCATTCATTAGAGAAAGAGAAGGTTGGCCTTTTTACTTGGGACATGTTTTACTCCATTTCACTCTGAGAAGAACCAGGAAATTTAAAATCTGTACCTCCCTTTATCTTCTTAAGCAAATTTCATCTTTTTTCTAGATATAGATATACTGGTTAGAACCTTTGATTGTAAATGAAAGAGCCCAGAGTTAGTCTAAGCACAAAATATTTTATATGCAAATTTGTGTCTAGAACTCAGAGCAGGAATCCCAGCACATTTAGTTCAGAATCTGAAGCAGGAAAGGGAAAATCAAGAGGAAGCCTTGTTGGACTTCACCTAACCAAGGCTATTCCTTCCTTTCTTTGGAGAACCTCATTCTCTGCTCCTCTGGCCTTAAAACAAATGACCCAGGTTTAGCCACAAAGAAAGACTAACCATTCCAAGTCTGACCACACAGAAACACTAACTTCATCCCAGTTCCAAATTCCCAGGGGAGAAATTGGCTAGTTCTACCATAAGTCAGCTAGCCCAGGAGCATGGAGCCACGGAATAATCGCTGACATTTCTTACTTACTAAGTACAGGTGCTTTTAAATATTATCTTATTTAATCCTCACAACAACTTTAGAATGTAATCCCCATTTTATAGACCAAGTGTTTTGCAACCATCTCAGGCCAGGTAGGTTCATTGTCAGTTCTCGATGACAAAAAGGTAATTTTGGAGCCTTCAATAGATTTTTACAGGCCTTTAGTGCTGTCTTAGGAACCAGGTACACAGACAGGCACACCAGGCAGAGAGGCCAGCATGCAAGGAGGCAGGCACAGGCCAGGCTGGGGGCCCAGGAAGCGCCAGCTCTCAGCCCTCAGCCCTCCAGTCTCTCAGCCCTCAGCCCTCCAGTCTCTCAGCCCTCTGCAAATCTTTGTAGTCTCTCTGGGCTCTGTGGTGTTTTCTCTGGTGTTCCCAGGCTGACGCGGTGTCATGGGTTTGCCTGAGTGGTCCACTCATAGCCACAGTTGTAGTCCTATAGCCACCTTCTCTGAGTGACACTGCCCCTTTGTCCCTGGCCTCCTGGCACACAGGTGCCTGCACTTACACATGTGCGCCCCGTAATTCCTGGACCCAGGCGCCCACAATTCTAGGCACATGTATTCATGCCCGTGCCTCTAGGCCCCGGGCATCCATGCTAGCAGTGGGAGGGTGGAAAAAAGCCTGATTTTTTAACTTCATTTACCTTACACCAAGGTAGCAATGGAAAGAGTGTAGGAGGCAGGAATGGACACAGTGCAAGTTTTCTGTGATCCAGCAGACCGGGTAAAAGAGGAGTCAGAGTCCTTAGTGGCTTTTTGCAGGTCTTTTTATTTAGATTACCAGGTACAAGGCTGGCAGGGGCGCTGTGGGGCTGGGACGCTGGCAGTCCTCCCAGCGCCCAGCAAATCTTCACTCTGGGTTCTCCGGCCTTCTCTCACGTTCTCTCTGCTCTTCTCATGGCTCTGCTTCTCTCCCGGCTTCTGCTGTTACTGGCATCCCCGTGATGTTGCCCTTAAAAGGCCAGTCTCTCAGCCCAGGTGTACCCACTCCAGGTGCCCGCCATCAGGCATGCATTCAGGATCACGGGGTTCCCTCATCTATCCTGATGGCAGAAGGGCAGAAAAGCCTGATACCTTTTACCTACCCTACAAAGAGTTAACTACGTACGTGTCCCAGAGCAAGGGTACACACCAAGACCCCCCCAACTCCAGCGCTGTGCATTTGTGAGGAGGGCAAGTTCTCAGAGGGGGTCCTAGAGTGTTGAGCAGATACCCTAAAATTTATTTCTCTACTGCATTATTTCTCTCCTTTGAATACTGCTTTCTCCTCGCTGTTGTGTGGTTAAAACTGTCGCGAGCCTACCTGTCCATATTCCCAAAAGGAGGAATTCAAAAGATTCACGCAGTTGCCTCCCCAGAAATCTTAGCCTGTTGCAGATTATGTGAGGATGTGATCAGTGAGTCAATGATACAAGCAGCTTTTCAATTAGAAACAAGCCCCTGGTCTTTAAAAGAAGCTGAAAAACAATTGAGTTTAATGGACTTTGCATGCCCCATCTTCGATCCACTGGCTACAAGAATACGATAAAATAATTATGAAGTTGCTCTACATCTGGTTCCAAGCAGTAGGAAGTAAGTAACCAAGTTGTCTAGCTTTAGAACAGTGTCAGGTGAACTCCTTGACTGTCCTTTGTATAGCCTGTGTTTGATCTTTCTGCTTCCTACTTTAGCCAGGTACTTTATTAAACATGAGATCTTTGAACCAAAATCTAGTGTTAGCCAGAACATTGTAAGCTTTTTCTTTATTTGTATTGATGGTGAGCCCCTAAACAAACTGGAACAATATTTGAAAAAAAGATTTGTTGCCTGTACCCCTGGAAAGGAGAGAAGGAAGGAGATTCCCTCCAACACAAGAAACAAACACACTTATTGTTTTGGTTCTTCGAGTTGCCATGGGCGAAGCAATGCACATAAAAGCGGGGCGCATGTCTGCAATATTGTTATTATCGCTTCCTGTAGCCAATAACACTGCTTTTTAAAATGTGCTTAAAAGTCATTAGCTTAAAAAATGTTTTAAAATTCTTGCTATAATTAGACAGTAAATGTCTGTGGGTGTGTAATTGCCATGCTGGGTAATGGACTGATTCAAGTGGAGACAGCTGAAGCCCACGGGGGCACGTAGACGAGCCGGCCAGTTTCTTCAATAGTTGGGAGGTTGAGCTCACATCTCTTACAGGTAAGATTAAATTAAGTGCAGAATTCCACAGAAAAGGGTAAGTTTGACAGTGGCCAAAAGATAATCCTGCATCGAAATATGAGATTTGATTAATATCCTTAGGTTGCAGGGAACGAAACTCCACTTGGGCCAACTAAATAAGGAACCCAGGAGCTGTCCTGTGAACACATGGACAAGATCATACCAAACCTCATATGAATCAACTCTGGGAAGCTGCTGAGGACCAAACTGGTCTTTCCATCACTCAGAAGCCCCCTATTTCTGTCAGCTTTGCTTCCCTTAGTGCACATATGATTCCTTATCTTGGACCGTATTTTTTGTCTGCACGTAGCCCAAACCCAAGTGTTGGGCAACCACCCCAGGCCAGGTAGGTTCATTGTTAATTCTTGCAGATGAAAAGAGAATTTTGGAGCCCTCCGTATCATTTTCCAGGCCTTTAATGCTGAATCAGAGGACAGGCCAACCAGCAGGGAAACAGCAGCTAAGCCCCCTAGCTTCAGAGTGATGCCATTGTTTTTATCTCCCCCCACTTCTGGGCCTAGGTGTCTGTACTTACGTATGTGCACACCCCATGCTCTCAGGGTCCAGGTGTCCCTAATCATAGGTGTAAGAGCCCCGTTGCCCATGCCTCTTGGCTCCAGGTATCCAAAACCTAGGAGGAGTGCAAGACCACAGAGGCTAAGGGTGTAGGGACAGAAAAAGCCTGACTTAACTCCATTTTCCCTATCCCAAGTCAACACAGTTGTCCAAATCCACAGCCAATGATGATGAATTTTTTTATTTCCTGATGCAAACGAGAGAGAACGCGTGATTGGCCTGGCCTAGCCTTTGAATTGATCCCCAACCCAGCTGTGAGTCAGTTCTCTTTGGAGTTTGCTGGAGCTACAGGAAGCAAGGCAGAAGTCAAGTGGGATAAGCCTCTTCAGTGTCCCCATCAGAGTCTAGTTCTCATCCTGCCCAGGACCTCTACAGCTCTGCTTGTGAGAATGCAACCACGTTATAGATTCACCCCGAGACAGCACCCAGCAGCTGGCAATTGATAGTGAGATGTGGGGTTGACAAGCTCAGTCATTTGGTATTAGTGCTGATCTAGGAAATGAGTAACAAATCATTGTTTGGGAAGTTTAGGAAGTCCATGAACTCTGACATAAAGCACGAGAGAGGAGAATGAGAGTGTAGGGTCATTATGAGAAGGGGTTATATCTACCACCATTCTTTCATAGTTGTAGTGGCAGGAAGGCACAGAGCAGAATAGAAGTCCTGGAGCCCTTGGTGGCTTTTTCAGGGTTTTATTGGGATTTTACATGTGGTATGGCAATCCAGGCAGCCCCTGGCGAATCTTCACTCTTTCTGGGCTCTCTGGCATTC